CTGTCAAGATTATTTTATCTCCCTTTGCGATGTCATGGTCTGGTTTGTACGAATTAATTGTTACATCAATTTTTCGTTCACCGTCAGTAAGACTGACGTATGCTTTAATCCAATTTACGTTTTCAGAATTAATTATTGAAAATTTAGTTTTGACATAACCGGAGATTTCTGTATGAACATCAAATAAAAATAAAAAAATTATGTACAAAATTAAAATTTAATTTTAATTAACTAATATTTCTTATGAAATTCCTAAAAATTAATGAGAGTGAATTAAAAAATTTTATTATTAATGATTGTTAAATTATTTATGAAATTTAAAATTTTCTTAAATCCCCAAATAAATTTTAAAAAATAAAGTTAGTACTCATTTAACTCTAGCGTAGCATAAACGTAACAATAATAATTTGAATCATAAGACAATCTCAAATAAAATCATGTAATATTTCATAAAGTATCTAATTTATAATTAAAAAAAATAAAAAAATTAGTTTTTGTTTAATGTTTTTTCGTGATAATTTTATTGTAAAAATTTTTAGATGTCTATGAAATTCAATATCATGAAAAATTTCATCTTTTTAAGCTTTAAAGAATTAAAAAAAAAATATTTTATAAAATTAGTTTATTTTTCAAAAAAAATAAAATTGTTCATTTTAGTGTCATAAAATTTTTTCTAATATATAATTTTCTGTCACGTTTTTTTTTTTATAAATTGAGATTTTGAGGATTAAATTTGGGTAATTTTTTTTTATTTGAAATTTGAAAAAATAATTTTTAAAATTTTCTTTTTTTTTGTAAACATAATTTGGAAAATTATGCAATATAAATTTTTTTAAAAATATATTCTTTCACTTTTAAAGTTTAATTAATAAAAAATGTATATTAGTCTTTTTTTTTATTAAATACTTTTTTTTAATAACTAAAAATCATAAGAAAAAATTTTTTTTAACTGTCTTAATAAAATTTAAATGTTTTTAAAGAATTTAAAATTTTTTTTCATCGTTTAGAAGTAATAAAATTTTTTTTTCATTTTTTGTATTAAAAATAAAATAATTAAAAAATTTTTTTAATTGTCATATCTAAAAAATTATTTTTAAATTTTATATTTTTATTTTTTTGGTAATTATTTATAAGTGAGGTCTACTCTATTTTTGGCCATATCTAGGTGAAAAATTAAAATTTTTTTTATTCTGTTTATTTTTATGGCGCATTAATGATAAAAAATGTAGTAAAAAAAAAAATAAAGATTCTGACAGCTTTTTTGTCTTTAAAAGTCGAAACAAATTTTAGCTCTTATGTTTATGGATAAAATTTCTATTTCATCTTTTCTTGATCTTTTTGATTCAATTTTTTTTTATATTTTTTTTTTTGTATATTTAAAAAAAAATATATCAATAAAATCTAAACGAAATTTCGTTCAAAATTCTGAATCCTAAAATTCTCTTTTAATTTTATGGAATTAAAAGAAATAAATACAATATATTTTATCATATACGTACTAAATCTCGAAGGCAAAATTGAGTTTTCGATTTGGTCCAGTGCAATTAGCTGGAAATCTGTCTCTCTATCCTCATCAGCTAAACAATTTTTCTCATTAAATTCCCTCATATTTTCGAGGATGGTCTGCTTATTAATGATAATTTCTGCACCAGTAAAGTTTCCATTATTGTATTTCGTGTGAGGGCCACAATACGCATTTTCTAAATGGATAACCTATAACATAAAAATAATAATATTTATTATAATTATATAAATAATAATACTAATAATAATACTTACACGATCCATAATGATATCAGCTTGCACGCGTGGAATGTCGTCACCCCAGCATTTTATTTGTACCCTTTTACCGGCTCCATTATTAATCACAAATTTTAAGAGTTTGCTATCATTACACTGTTTCACAGATTCAATAGCATCAATATAGCCGACCAACTCACTAAAAACATATTTAAAATTATAAAAATTGAAAAAATAAGTCTTAACCTAGTCTTGTTAAACTACGTCTTAAATTACCATAATTATGTATAACTTACGAAGACATTCCTGGTCATAATTTATCAATGTGCTTATTTGTACTCAATTTAATTATATTATCAGCCATATTAATGAACTTACACTTTTGTATTTCAAATGACAATTAATATTAATATTTTAGTTGTTATTAAATAATTTTTTAATAATAAAACTTTTAGTTCAATGTTTCATTTTTTCACTAATTCCATTAAAACAAAATACTGTATATTTGTTTGCTAGTTTCCAAGGAAACAGTAGATTACATGGTAAACACGTGCAAACACGTGTTGCTATGTTTTAATCAGACACTTTAGGTTAAAATAAAATGTGCTAAAAAAACAATATTACACTTATAATTATCAAATGTCAATTGTCTGGGTTAACTTCTGAAAATATTATTTCGTATAAATTTTACAATATCACATAAACTATCTATTTAACAGCTTAAATTTTTTTCGTTATTTTTCGAATAAATAATACTCATTATCGCTAGTATACATCAGTAAGATGTATAGCCTATATAGCCTCTACAGTTTATAGTAATGTAATGTGTTCTTCTATACCAACTGTGTAGTACATCGTATTGATGGCAGTATTGGCATGTTAATATAAATGCTAAAAACAACCACAATCCTATCTAAATACACGTAGCGCTATCGTTTTGAGCGCTTAGTGGAACACGCCTTATATATTATTTTCCGCGAGAAAGTAATTCAAATTTAAAAAAATATACTTGTGTCACTATCAAAGAGCAAAAAATTGTTATAAGATATTGGACAATTATTTCAAATTTCTTAACAAATTGAATCAAAAAAAAAAGTTCTTATTTTCTTTTTACTTTATACTTGTGAACTTTTCGAAATAATTTTTTTTTATCATAAATTAATTGTTCTAACAATGTAAAAAATTGTAATATGTGTAAAATTCAGTGTCATATATATGTGATTATATATTTATATTCATTATTAACGTAAATTATAATTGAATTAAAACCCTTTTTAAAAATATTCATTCAAAAAAATTCACTATCGTTAGATTTTAATTTTTTTCAATAATTTCAATTTCTCATTATATATCTATAAATATATAATTTACATAGAGCGATTTTTTTCAATTTTTTCCAATGAATATTTTTAAATAGGGTAATGAAAAATTTCTATAAATTTATAAAATAATTTAATGAATACTTGTGAATTAAATATTCAAAATAGTTAAATTAATAATCTGTAAAAATATTATATTCTATGGGCCACTTTTTCAAACCTGGATAAAATTTCATCCACTGTTAAAATATATCTATATATTTCATGTTTATAGATATACTCACAATTATAATTTTATCCTAGATAAAATTTTATCTCGGATTGAAAAACTGGCCCTATGTATTAAATGTGACGTTGGTTATTTATTACATGGCTATTAAATTTAAATTGACTATATAAAACAAATTAAAGGCGACATCGTATCATAGCAATAATTTTCATACATAATAAAGAAAATTTTATTCTAATATCATAATATTGAGAATTAAAATGGTAAAAATTAAATTGTTTGAGAACCAAGCAGTACGGACCTTTTTCCAGGGTCAAGT